GACAGTGATGATAATTTTTTCATGCAAGTTGTCGCTCCGGCGACTACGCTATGTGTTGGATTTATATATAGAGAACCTTCTCGCCGAAGGCACACTTCTGGTTGGGGAGGCGCACTTAGGGTGCAGTATTATTTGGAACGTAGTCCAACAGTGATGTATGACAAAGTCCGTATGAGTAGTGATGCGTTCTTGCGACTAAGTTTTATCCTTGAGGAAAGGGGCTTACTGCAACCAACTGTCCACCTAAATGTTGATGAGCAATTATTTATATTCCTAACTATATTATGTCAGAACCAAACTAACAGGGAGGCGCAGGACACTTGGCAACGATCTGGATCGACGGTGTCTGAGTACTTCACCAAAGTTCTTGTGGCGGTATGCAAACTGAAGCAGGACTTCATTTTACATCCAGATTTCCAAACCGTTGACCCGCACATCATTGCAAGTGGAAACAAATACTCGCCGTGGTTCGATGTATGTTCGGTAATGTATATTATTTACTGGTTTATAATAATTATTACGACTTCAATATAACCAACATAACATTTGTAAACTCTGAAGGATTGTGTTGGAGCTCTTGATGGTACTCACATCCCATGTGTTCCCCCTCATGAAACTGCTGAACTTTACAGAAATAGGAAGGGGTTTTTCTCACTTAATGTGCTTGCCGTGTGCACTTTTGATATGAAATTTACGTACATGTTATCTGGATGGGAGGGTTCCGCACACGATGCGCGAGTATTAGCTGCTGCTTTAGAATCCGCACGCAAAAGATTCCCGTACGCTAACAACGGATGCTTCCTGGCACCATATCGGGGGACAACGTACCACTTGCAAGAGTATAGGGCTCGCCGTGAAAGAGGATTCCACAGTGAACGTGAGCTTTTCAACTCCACCCAGTCTTCGTTGCGTAATGTCATTGAAAGAACATTTGGTGTGTGGAAGGCTAGATTTCGTATTTTGAGAACCATTAATCGTTACCCCATGACCAAACAAGTTATGATTCCAGTAGCGTGTGCTATAATACATAATTTTATCCACATGTACCGTAATGGGGACAGGCTATTGGACCAATACTCATAAGATGGCGTTCCGGTTGCAGACATTGATCTACCGAATGTTGATGAGGACATTAACGACAATACTAACCATGAGGGTCAACCATTGGATTCTAATGCAGAAGTTGACATGAATGCTTTAAGGGATGCAAGGGCGCATACAATGTGGGCAGTGTACCAGCACCGTCGTGCACGCTGATGCCATCGTTCATTGTTGTCTTTTTAAACTTAAATATGTATTTTTTGCTGTCTTTTTGAACTTAATTAAAATGAAAACTGAGCTTGTACTTGTTATTTTTATTATTTTTTTATTTTTGTAATTACAAGTAATTTATTACAATAAAACATAATAAAGGCGGAAAAATAAAAAAATTGTAAAAGAATTGAATAAAATTGTAGGAGGAGAAAAAATGATATTCACTATTCACAACTCAAGTTTTATCACAAACAAACACAAACTCAAAAAATTCTTAACTCAAACCATAACTTAAGTATATACAACTAAACGCAAACTCAAGTTACAACTTAAACTCAAGTTATAACTCAAATTCAACTCAAATTCAACTCAAAAACTTAACTCAAAAATACTTGTAAAAGAACAAGCCCTAAGTCTTTTTCTTGGATTGCTGATTCACAATTTTGTTTTATAGAATGAATAAGGAGAGGCCTATTGATGACCGAGCCACTCTTATACTATTTCTTATCTTGTCCTCGTTGCCATTTAAAGGACAAAGTCGCTGAAATTAGTTTAAAGGCCGAAAAGTGATATTTGAAGGTTATTCCGTATCTTTAGTAATAGTATAGTGTAAGTTAGGTTTGGGTATATATGGATTAAAAAGTTGGGAAAATAGTAGGAAATAAGTCAATATGAAAAACTTAAAAAAGTATATAGGCTAACTTTTAATTATAAAAATTAATAAGTCATAACTTGTCAAGTTATGGTTCATAACCAGATAAGTTATGGACAAATTTGTTAAGTTATAATTCATAACCAGACAAGTTATGGACAAAAATCGAGAATAACTTGTCAAATTATAGTTCATAACCAAATAAGTTATGGACGAAAACAGTAATTTAACCTATTTATTAACTTATGTAAACTATTGGCCTATTAATTTTAATTCATCTCAAGTCTTGGCCTATTTTCCTCTTTCTCCGTTAAAAGTATGAGTAATAATGCATAAATAAGTGTTTGAGTTTTTCTTTATCTAAAAAGAAAGGAGGGGATAATAAAGTATACTTTAGAAATAATAGTAGCCGAATCACTTATTCGGCAAATACAAATAACAATAATTTATTGTGAATAAATTAATAAAAAAATATTTATGTAATAGTAATGTATGTACAGTAATATGAATCTAACATTAATAAAAGTAGATACGATCATATACAAAAGAGGAATAAAATATGAATAATATATGTAATAAGGTTGGGATCAAATTATGTATAAAGAGACAAATTCATATTTGTATTTGGCTATATTCGGCTTCCTGCTTCATACATAAACAAATATATTAAAAATTTTCTATCACAATGCTTGATTATAAAAAAAATTTATAAATGGTATAATAGATAAATAAATAATCAAGAGAATTCAAGAGGAAAAAAATTAAGAGATTATGAATGCCATAATATTTTTATACAGTAACTGTTGCTTCGATATTATGTATTTTCAGTAATGTATGAGAAATAAAGTATATATCAATATATATTATAGCTAAATTAAATAATATCAACATGAATATGAGAATAGAAATCTAAAATTTATGCTATGATACAAAATTAAATAATAAAGTAGCAACAATTGATAAATTAAGTTTATCAACAAAGGCTACATAAATAAGTGAATTGACATATGCATTTGTCTAACTTGAGTTTGTTAGAAAATGGCTAGACAAATTAAAAGTTGTCTGTAGTAAATTATGTAATCAAATTATAGTAGGAACAAAGATTGATGATTACTTATGTAAGAATAGATAGGGGGAAAAAAAATTAAAGAGATGGAAAAAAGATTGATGATTATAGAAATGGTAAAAACATTGATGATTATATATATAATCAAATTATAATAAGAACACACATTGATGATTGATAATAATAGTGATAAAAGATGATGAATGAGATTGAGAAAATATTTTTTACATAATTGCATTTCTTTGATGGGAGCAGTTGCATGGACGTGATGAAAATATTAAGACGAATGAAGGTAAGAAAGAGGAAATTAATAAAAAGTTTGACATTAAGAAAGAAAAACAAAAGGTGAACAAAGATTAAGTTGCAAAGGAAATAGGCAGTGCAGTTTTTGGACGAATCAAATGAATTCGAGTATTTAAAAATTCAATACAATCATTATTACCAATGCATATGCACATGTGTAATTAACAAATAAATAGGCAAAGATCTTAGTAGATTATAACTATCAAATTATAAAACACACAAGAAAATAAATAATGGTTATCAATGTTTTTTAATACTTTTGGAAGGAACATTTCTTAATTTTTATACATTACTTATATCAATTAGTTATATAAGGAAATTTTATTTTAGTATATAGAATAGAAAATAAATAACAAATATTAATATTGTTATGGGAAATTATAATATTCATTTTCAACAATAATCATTAAAAGTAAATGGATGAAAGTTTTTAGGGATATCTCAAGCATTGTGAATAGGATTCTGGGTGGAAAAGATGAGACAAGAAAATGTGCATGTTGACAAAAGGATAGAGCAATAGGAATGTGAAGCAGTAGATTGTAAACAATTTCAAACAATATATATAAATAAATGAGGTAATGGACAAATAAATAAAGAGATCAAATAGGGAGAAAGAAAAAGGAAACAAAAACGAAATAAAATATATAAATATATATATATTTTTTTAAAGAATAAAAAAGCAAAATAAAGCTTGATTAGAGAAAGAAGGGGGAAAAAAGTGCGAAAATGTGAATGCCATAATTTTTTTATATCATTCTTTTAGATAGTAATGCCAATAGTAATCGATTTTAAAACCAAAATAAGTTACTACATTATTATATAGGAAAAATTTAGTAAAAGAAGGAAAAAAAATCAAATAGCTAGAAATCATTTATTTATGTAGTTAAGGATAAAATAAGAATAGATTGCTAATTTTTGTTCATCACAGTAAATTTTAAATAACCTTAGGCAGTAGCATTACATATTAATATAATAGTATAAGTACATAGGAAAAAATATAAAAGAGGATAAATAAGTAATACTAAGATTAATATAATTGGTTAATATACTTAACATTAGTAATAGGAACGGATGGTATTTAAAGAAAAGTTGTGTTAATATCTAAAGCAATGGAAATCAACAAAAAATAGAAAAAGGGTACAAAAAAGGTGCATTATAATGTATATTTGAGAAAAAAATAACTAATTGAAGATATGAAATGATTCCAAGAAATACGAAGTGAATAAATAAAAGGTGAAAAAAATGAGAATTCTTTTCCAAATACAGAGCATATACAAAACAAAAGTAAAGTAAAACATACAGGTTAAGCAGAGATAAAAAGGAGGAAAAAGAAAAACAAAGATGATCAGAAAAGAGTATATGAGAAAAAGCTAACAAGATGGGAACAGAATTATCCAAACACATTAGGAAAATCTAAAAAATCAATAGATCCATTGCCCACAAATAAAAGGAGAAAAGGAAAAGTGACAAAATCGATATAACACTATTGTCAAAATAGTGGACTGAGTATGTATGAGCAGTTTACAAATAAGGGAAAGGAGAGGAAGGAAAAAAAGATAGAGGGAAAAAAATTAAAAAAAATGTGAAAAAATAGAACTAAAATATTTAAATTAAAGTGATATGCTTAAACATATTGCCAAAAAATGAATAAAATGCAAATAAACATTTTAATGCCATTGAATAATGATAAAATAGAAAAGTGATAGGTTGAGAAAAGTAATGAAAAAAGACAACAGCAAGTATTAATAAGATGGGAGTAAGATAAAATGCAAATAAACATTTCAATTTCATTGACTTATGATAAAACAGTAAAGGGATGGATTTAGAGAAGAAATAAAAAAAGACAATGGCAATTATTAATAATATGCGAGCGAGATGAAATGCAAATAAACATTTTAATTGTATTAAATAGCAATAAAACAGTAAAGCTATGAGTTGATAAAAGCAATGAAAAAAAAGCAATGGCAACTATTAATAACATGGGATCAAGTACTAATAAGATGAGAAAAAAGGGAGCAGGAGTTATTAATAGTACCTGGATCAGCGTGAAAATTGTGCTAAATGTAGGATATCAACCAACCAGGAACGAACACAGCTAGTTAAAGATGGAAAAATAAGAGTAAACAGCAATAAATGATGGACTGTGGAGTGAAAGAGTGAGTGGTTATAGGTAAAAAAAAGAGCAACGATAAACAGTCAAAGGCACAGAAGTATAAAAGGAAAGCAGTAAATGAGGAGTAATGAGGCAAAATGGATAGTGGTAAAGGATGAAATGGAACGGGCATGAGAATAGGTACAGGAAAATATGTATTATAAATCTATGGAACCAACAGCACTAATAAATAGTTAGTAGAAAAGTTATTATGAACAGTAAACATCGTATAATAATATAACACGTACTGATATAGAGTGGTTAGAGAAAAATTGGGAAATCAATATTTATCAATTATGTAATAAAATCGATGCAGGTTTGAAGATAATTTTAGTACTAACAACATAGAAAATACAAAATGGCAGAAGCAAGGAAAAAACTGGGAAAAAAGGATGAAAAAAGGGGGAAAAAGTATTGCCCTAAAATTGGTGAAACTTGTAAAGCCGTTCGGTTTGTTAATTTAAATTGAGATGTGATGTTGTGTGAAAATTTTTTATTGTAATAAAAAAATTAAATGTGATTATTTTTAAAAATTTTTTAATGTAATAAAACTCAAATTTTAAACTCGAATCAGTGAAAAAAACGCTGACTTGAATAATATAAGATGACACTAAGACGTATTCCAGAAGATACGGAGAGAAAAAATCATACGGAAAGAAAATTTTTTTGATTTATTTAATAGTTTCGTAACAAAATCAGAATACGTCATCAACCTAAGAAATCAAAGGACAGCCTAAAAAGTCCAGATCATCAACATAATAAATAGAGGAAAAAAATCTCACATTATCCACATGCAGTATGAAACGGAGCAGAAGAAAAGGGCCGAAAGTAGATAAAGCACCTGCAAAAACAAATTTTTTAAGAAAGATAATAAAAAAAGATTTTATATCAACTATAAAGATAACTAAATAAAAATAAGGGACAAAAATATATAATTCATTAATCATGGATAAAGAACAAAGCGAAGAATAGCAATCAAACAAAGCAAAAAGTAGGAAAGATAAATAAAAAAGCAATGAAAATGGCATATAATCAGAAATAAAAACATTAGCAGAATCCAAAAGAGAAAGAAAATAAAATTTCTAAATGCTCCTCCAAAGCCCACCGAAAGGACCCTCATACGAACAACACAGAGGAAAAGCCCCAGGATTGCAACTAAAATCAAAGTAAAGAAAAGAACGAAATGAGCATATGAAGGCAAAAGGAAAAAAAAAAAAAAAAAAGAGTGAGACAATGAGACAGAAACGGCGGAGAAGAACAAAAGCGATGAATAAAAATTCCTAGGGTTTAACAGAGTAAATAGACATAAATACCTAGGGCAGAAATAGAGAAAAAAGCAAGGACAAAGAATTAAAAAGACCAATAGGTCCTCCACCCACAAGCAGAAAAAGCAGAGATAAAAAGAGCAAAAGCGTCAGAACACTGTTGCAAAAACAGTAAACTGAGTGTGGATGAACAGTGCCGAACGGGTTTATTCGTTTAGTTGGAGGATTTAAACCATGTGATTCGAACTATTTTTTATTTATGTGAGAGAAAATACTGTAACAAACTACGAATCATGATTCAAATTAAAAAAATATGAAAGAAAGTTCAAAAAAAAAAAAAAGAGGGAAAAAAGTTAAATTTTTTCCTGTGTTTAGAACTTAAGGAAAATTAAGGAGGAAAAAAATAGGGGTTCCCTTGTAATTTTTTTCTTGTGTTTGGATATTCAAAAAAATAAAAAAATAAAAAAAAATAAAACAGGGAAAAAAATAAATTTCATTTGCTCTATTTTTTCTTCACTCTCTCTCCTCACTTTACAGAACACAACTTCCTCTGATGCGAAAAATCAATAACACCTACCTAATTTAACTCACTATTTACTATTTATATCAAGTGTAGTCACATCTTTCATTAATTTGTACCCTTCTTTAACTCATTAATAAAATTATAAAAGAAAACACGAACAAATTTGAACTTTTAAATGCTATTTGTAAACAAAACATAAAAATGAGTGTTACAATTTAAACCGGCTGATTTTATATTTACAACATAATACATGTTTCAAAATTGAATCAGCCATCTATTGTTTGAAAATTGAATCAACATAATACAAAATTAGTGTCAATTCGAATGAACCAAAATGCCGTCATATGGCCTCCCACACTGTGAGTCCTCATTGGGACAATCTCCATCGAGATGAAAATAAGGTCCAAGTCTCCATTGAGACAATACAGTAAAGATGCTTCCGTTGAAACTTACTCAATATAACAGTACCAACCCATCTCAAGTAAAAACTTCATAAAATTGCTCTTATATGCATTCATTTCATTTCAATAAACATTAGGTACAATGCCTTTTTGATGCTATTATACGTGCTTCAAAATACTTTTGATAAAAGGATGTTCACGTCATAAAATAACATGTATAGACTACATACATTATTATTATGGGGACACAGGTAAGATTCTACTTACCTTGTTTTGAGTAAAAATATGGAGTGTTCAAATCCTTTTGTAAAATACATATTTACATCTCATTATAATCCATCCATCATAAGGTTTCAATGTTAGTCTTAAAGAGCACCCTTTTCCATTATATCACATACCAGACCTGTCTTTAGAAATTCCCAAACCATTTACAAATAAAGATAATACGAATTACACATGATACGGTTTCAACATAATATGCATTATCAATGCCATAAAATCATGCAATGCAACAAGAAGTATGTGAGAATACTAAGCATCACAAGGTGGGTAAAGAAAATAGAAAAAATAATACAATTTAGTTGAATGGACTTTTCTGCAAGTTTAAGCAAGTGTAACAAGTAGAATAGATGATGGTTTAAAAATGTGTATGAAAAGTAAAACGGGTAATTTAGTTGTACGGAGTTTTTTGAAATTTTAAAATGAGTGTAACAATGCGTGTATGAAAAGTAGAAAAAGAGGGTGTCAACAGATGCATCCTTTAAAAAGTTATGCTATAATTTACTAATCTCCGATCTTAAATATACTGTCTTACTCATTCCTTTATTTAACTTGTGAATTTGTTCTTGTCATTTATTGTACCATGATCACATTTTATATTTATCATACAATTGGTGTTTTGATTTAGAATTCATCTAATTATGTATTATTCACTATTTTAGAGAAGTCTAGTTGAAAAATAAAACATTTTTTTAAATTGAATTTTCATATTTTACATCAATTTTCACCGATATTTCCATAAAATTTAAATAGCTTTATGTCCATAGATATCGATATTCTCATCCTTCAATTATAACAGCAATTGAAGGAACAGTAAGTTGAGACTACCGAGCGACCAACATGTACAAAAAATACAATCTATTTACATGAATCGGCCTCAATTGCTACAAGTTATAGAGTTACACGAAAATAACAAATACAAGGCATATCACAAATTAAGTAACATTTCTGTGGAAAGCAGAACACAATGGGGAAAAGGACAAAGAAAGCATATACATTTTATCAACAGATTATACAAACATATAAAGAAAGTCGCAGTTTGCTTTCCATACAACTAAAAGCTGTGATTTCATCTTTATGTGCATAACCATGCATACGTGATCTGACTGAAAGAAGTCAAACCTTCAGTTATAATTTGCTGAAGGCAAAGGACATAAATGGAAGCTCTCTTACATTTAATCTTTGCGCATTTTGGCTTTCTTAATGGACTCCATGGCTTCTTCAAAGGATTTCTGAGCGCAAAAAGCAGAACATCAAAGGAAGTTTGTCAGCTAAATCTCATAAAATAATCTATCATCCCCAGTAAAGTTTCAAGTAAACATTAAGATGAAATAAGCTACATTTTGCTAAAGAATATCAGTAAAGGGAATATCCAAATGAAAATATTACTCAACTAGAAAAATGATGAATATGGGAACTGAATGAGAAGTTGCCCACTATCGTGTGGCAATGAGAATTGCATTTTTGCGATAACTAGAACAACCGTGTGGAAAAATCAAAATTGAACAAGTTGGTAAATATTGCCAATCTTTTCCTAGTTTCTTGACTTCTGCATTACACCATCATGTGGAGTGGACATTATAAACGACGTCGTAGTTGAGCAGCCAACATGCTAGTTATATGAAAAATCATATAGACCTGGTTTATTCTTGTTGGCTCTGCTAATCATTCTAATAAGATTGATATTGTGGGTGTACAAATCAGTGACATGGGAGCAATGTAGACTATTTACCTAAAATACTTTCTAGGCTACATCAAAACTCCAAACGAAACAATATTGCAGTGGTTAAAGCATCTCCATTGCATTTTGGACAGTTTTGGGGTTGATTTCCCAAAATGGGAAATATTATGCTTCAGAAAACTACAACACGATACTCACAAATTAGGAAGAAGTAGTGACAAATCACGAGAAAGTTGCAAGTATTGGTGAGCCACGTGCAAGTGTTAGGGCCCTGTAGTTGGTTAGTTAACAAAGTTACTAATTGCTACAATTTTGTAATTAGTCAGAGTTTGTTACACAAATACTAGTAGTATAAATAATAGGATAGCAACTAATGACAAAGTGTGGATTATTTTGGATTTTTGGGGTTTGGGAAACCAAGATTAGGGAACGAATACCACGGAGTTACGTTTTGACGGAGTTACGTTTTGTTACTGTAATTCTTCAATTCTCTTCAATGAAAGATTAGCTTTGTTAGTTCATCCTCTGATTTGGATTGGGTTCCTAACAAAGTGGAAGTAATGTAAATAGTGATTCATGATTCGTGCACTTGTTTTCTCAAAGTGTCGAGGGCCTCTTTCAAAATTCTATACAGCACTGTCTGAACATATAGAAGTAGGTTTAAAGAAGTAGAAGTCTCTCAAGATGTAACATACCCCAGAATTGTGCATCTTCCACAGGGCCTCCTTGCCCATATCAGCTATAACCATCCCACCTAACAAAGCACTGCATGGAATTTCTCGTGGTCAGTGTCATTACTTGTAACATAGATTAGAGATGCTAAAATAATAGCAGATTCAATCCATATTACCAAACACATGTGCATTAAGCATTATATACACACAAATTTCGAACACAAACCAATAGAAAAAAGCAGGCAAATTTAACATCTATAATTGAATAATCTAAATGCAAATGTTAGGTAGGTAACATCTATAATTAAAACTTCATAGACATTAGTTGGGTAAACTATATTTTATTTTCATTTTTTTTAAAAATGACCCTCAAAAACAAAAGTTAATAGCCCCAGCACAATGAATGAGGATGTCCTTCCATGTCTTATTTTCTATTTAGTGTTATATTAGGACACCCATTAGGAAATAAAGAGCAAAAAAAAGCAACAACTTTAAATTGCACCGGCTAGTCCATTGCTACTGTACGGAAAGTAGATATTTTTAGAAATTCACTCATTATTGTTAAATCACTTAAAGTTAATACGGTAACCTGAAGAGTTTTAGCGAGAGAAGGTCACAGAAAATTATCTAAGCTATAAGAGTTGTACCACTAGTATGTTTACAACAATTGTTGTAAGTTACTACGTTGACTTGCTAAAACAGAACTCTACTCCTTAAAAGAACAATTCCACAAACTAATCCAGAGTAATGGACTGGTAAAAAAGGTACTCATTCACCACCTTGTTTGATTGTGTTTTGTGAAAATGGGATCAGCTTGGGGAGAACAAAAATATTAAAACCCATCAAAGCATCATGGAAAGGTGTGCCTAAAACATAGAAGAATGTTATTTTGGTGCATTACCTAAGGCAAGAAAAGGACTGGCACTGAACATTATAACTGAAAAAAAAAATAACACGGATGCATATATTTCACTACATGCCTTAGATGCAGCAGGTAATCAGGAGAAAACCAACATATCATATTGTTTTAAGGTTCTTGTCTGCAGCAGCTTTTCAGTAAAATACCTCACAGAAGCATGTACAAATACCCAAAACATACCATAAGAAGTCTCATACAGTTGTGTTGCCGAAAATTGTTCAATGTGCAAAATAAAGATTCCTAAGGTGAAAATTTAAAATAACCTCAATCAAAATAAATAAATTACGTCTAAGGCATGTCCACAAACTTACTAAAACAATCTCTCAGGAAAAATAACCAAACACAAACGGTCCAAACACCATTCCCAGGAAAATATCATTTCCATCTTTATACTCAAAACAATCTACAAAATGCTCCCAAATTAAAATTCATCTTCCTCTGTTAATTTATATACCAAGATGCTTGGCAGACTTGTTTCAACTAGTGGTTCTTACCAGGCCTCCTGCCAAGCCAGTCATATTCACCAAATCTAATCACCTACAACGCTGAAGTTGATAGAACATCTTAGTTAATTTAATAAATCCTTCACACAATCAACAACAGAAACACAGAGTCAATTACCAAGGCTGTCCTCCACAATTCAGTGTCTTAAGCAACGCAATGCTTTCCTAACAACACAGCCGATCAACAAATTCAGTGATTTACACAGCACAATGTTTCATTTTACCTTTTCTACATATCTGTATCTTGTGAAAAATAATGTAAATCTAATTGGTTAACATTACCCAAAACCCCGAGCAGAACACCATTCCACAAGCACAAGAATTAAAAACAATCATGTGGCTCTGCATATCTTGAAACCTTTTTTCATATATAAATCGTGTAACAAGCAATTCAATATCAGTACTAATTCACATACCTTTTCTTTCTAAGTTCACCAATTTAGGGGCAAAAGAATTTTCTAAATATATTTAGCATTCTCCTAGAGAAAATCCCTTAGAATGGTAGAATAACTTCAAAAGAAAGAATCGCACCCTGCAAAGGCCGCATTGAGAAGGAAAGCTCGCGTGGTGAAAAAGCGAAGAACATTCTCAAACGCAGAAACAAATCCACCGCCATTGGAGGCAGAAGAACCACGTCTAAATCCGCCGCCATAGCTCCGATCACGATAACCATAGTCATAACCATAACCGCCATAGAAATTACCATTTCCAGAACTCGGTGAGGAAAATCGAGATCGGAGATTGTAATCCGCACGCTTGCGATCATCGCTGAGGACCTCGTAGGCCTCGGAGACCTGCTTGAATCTGTGCGTGGCTTTGTCCCTCACGTCCTTGGGGGAACGAGAGTGCTTGTCGGGATGAAACTTCACCGCCAATCCACGAAAAGCTTCCTTGATTTCCTCCTTGCTTGCGTTCCTACTCAGCCCCAGCACCTCGTAGTGATCCATTTTTGCTCTGCTCTCATCACGGATTTTCCCGGGAAAGTTTTCACCTAATCCTTTGGATAACTGATCGAACGAATGATAGAAGAGAAATGGAAATGACTGTTGAGGAAGAGAGAGAGGAAATCTGAGCCGAAGAAGATGGCTTTTATATGGCGGGGAAGAGAGAGAGGAGGCGGGATTTCAATTGCGTCGTCGTGGCGCTGCTATAGCCGGAAGAGGCTTTTTGTAACTGACCTTTTTTTTTTATAATTTTTTTTTCCTTTTTTTCTTTTCTAATAAACTAAAATTTTTTTTCCTTCTTTCTTTTTGATGGATGTCATGAACTAGTTGAAGTATTCAATACATTTTCAGATTAAGAAAAAAAAAAAAGAAAAGTTGAAGTATTCAATATGTAATATATATATATATATATATATATATATTTGGAATATGCAGATTTAAAATCTATTTTAAAGTTTAGTTGATTTTTCTTCGACTTATCTACGATCTTTAAACTATAATATATTAAAAATGTGATGAAGTTGACCATCAATTTCTTACTTATTCTCTTAGGTGCGGTTTAATAAACCGTAAAGAAATGTAATAACAAATGTAATAAGATTTAAAGAAAAAAAATAAAATAAATAATTTGAAGTATTCAATACATTTTCAGATTAAGAAAAAAAAAAAAGAAAAGTTGAAGTATATTCAATATGTAATATATATATATATATATATATATATTTGGAATATGCAGATTTAAAATCTATTTTAAAGTTTAGTTGATTTTTCTTCGACTTATCTACGATCTTTAAACTATAATATATTAAAAATGTGATGAAGTTGACCATCAATTTCTTACTTATTCTCTTAGGTGCGGTTTAATAAACCGTAAAGAAATGTAATAACAAATGTAATAAGATTTAAAGAAAAAAAATAAAATAATAAGATTAGCATTTGGTTCATGAATTTAAATTATGTGATTAGAATTATTTTTGATTTACGTGTAATTTTTGTGAGAGAAAAATACTGTAGAGAATCACGAACCATGATTTGAATCAGGGAACGAATCTAGGTACCAAACGAGCTCAGAGTTATTTATTTCTTGTTATGTGTTTATTTGACTATAAAATTATGTAATGGGAAACAATCTCGTTCATTTTTTTATGTTTACTAAATTAAGAATAGTAATTTTATAAATGTAATCACTAAAATATCATTTTACATAATTAAATAATAATTGATTGTATAGTAATTCATTAAGAGTAGATAAGTGAATTTATCAGTCATTTCCTTTGACAAGAAATCAAAAGATGCAAGGATTAATATTCTCTTTTCTTATTCTCTATATTGTGTGGGATCTACTAAATCTTCATTACTAATTCTATAAGTAAATATATTATTAGATATTCATTTGACAAGAAATCAAAGGGTGCAAGGATTAATATTCTCTTTTCTAATTCCTTATATTGTGTGAGACCCACTAAATCTTCATTACTAATTCTATAAATAAATATATTATTAGATGGAAAAGAGAATCACTCCTTACTTTTTCTTTCCTTTGACGCAAAGTAAACATTTTCTTAATCTTTTATACATTTTGCTTACTTGTTATATACTATTCTCTCTTATTTGGAGCTTGAGAAAAAGTTATTAATTTTTTTCCATGTATGCCCTTTATCTTTTGTAATTTTTACTTACTTGTTACCAACTGTTTTCTCTTACTTAGAGCCTAAGAAAAACAATTTAATTTTTGTTTCTGTTTTTTAGCCTTAATCTTTTTTTACTTTTTATTTAGTTGTTTTTTATTTTTTTTTCTCTTACTTAATAACTTAAGAAAAAATGGTTTAATTTTTATTTTCCCTTATACCCTTTAATTTATGTATTTTTTACATACTTATTATACATTGTTTTCTCGTACATAGAGTGTAAGAAAAGTTGTCAAATTAAATCAAGTTGCTGTCTTTTAATTTTCTTTTTTACTTATGCCCTTTTTCTTTTTGTGTTTTTACTTTGTTGTTGTTTTTAGCTTTTGTGTTATTTGTATCTTGTGCTTTCTCTTACTCGTAGCTTAAGAAAAAATGGTAAAATTAAATAATGTTCATTTCGAAGGAATTACGTAATTGTTTTGTTCAATTTTTTTTTTTTTTTTTGCATTTACACGTTTTTTTTTTTTTTTTTCTGTGTTAGAAAACAATCTTTTTACTTTAATATTGTTAAGTATTATGAATTCCCTTTTTTGTCCCTTTACTTTTCTAGCATTTACTCAATATGGTTTAACTTATGCGGTATTAACGTTTTATGTCCTCTTTCTTTTTTATGTTTTTATTTGTCTTTTATGATCTTTTTCTTCTCTTGTGTGCTGAAAAACGACTGCATCGAAATTGTTGTAAAAATTATGGTATTTGTACAATGTAATAAATATAATAAATACAAGTAGCACATGCATAACGCGTGCTTACTTTTACTAGTTATTCTCTTAAAAGTTTAGTTTAATAAAAATAAGTTATTTTAAAAGAGCACATTTAAAAGAAAACTATTTTTAAGATAAATTTGACTGTAAATTGTTTAAGATGCGTACATAAAAAAAAAAAAATTATTTGAGAAAAAAATATTTAAACAAGGACACATTTGAGAATAAATTATTTTAACGGAAAAATTAGGTAAAAAAAGCTTACGAGGGCCACATTCAGAAAAAAAAAAAGAATTAATTACAATCTAAAATATTTAGACAATCACACATTTGAGAGAAATTATATAAATAAGAGCATATTAGGAGAGAAAAATTTATTAAGAGACATCAAGGAAATACAAGATTTAAAAATAAACAAAAAAATAAAATAGATCAACATGTATGTTTTAATTAAAACATGTATTTAGGTTAAATGTGTGTGTGTGTCTGCACGAAAAAGAATATTTGTGTAGAGACGTATATGAAAAGATATTATTTCAACATAGATAAATAACATAATTAGTATTTTTTTTTTTATACTATACGGGATTGAACCCACAACCCACTATTTAAATCCCATCATACCCAAACTCCCCAGTGCCATTAGACCACGTGGTCTTAAGCACATGATTGGTATTTAAGAGACAAACAGTAGCACATGTCACAAAAAGATAAAAAAAAAAATGAAAAAAAACATTTGTAATTAGGGAGATATTTGCGAACAATTACTTTAGAGGGACAGCTGGGAAAAATTATGACCATCACTTTTAAGAAAAATAATTTAAAGTATCAATTGAAAAAAAAAAGAATATACAAGTAGGACTCAGTTGAGGGAAACAAATATTTTGAGAGAGACGCATTAGGAAAATGTACTTCCCCAAATCATAAATAAAGACATAATGAGCTCGACATGTTAAGCGTTGTTTTGGTCGAAACTACAAAATAATGGAAAACACATTGGCTATTCCCATTTAAAGGAGAACACATTTGAGAAAAATTAAGATCAAGTTCCGGTGACGCTAATTAACGATAGTTTTCCGTCGATTTCGATTAGAATTCGGTTTTTTCACTTTGGAAAACTTTTTTTCCTCTCTTTCTTTGGCTGAGTTCTCTCTATTTTCTTGCATGAAAATGTACATTTTTCTTGTATCTTTCCCTTCTCAAACCGTTCACAAAAAGCATGAGGGACCTAGGTGTAATTTTGACACTTTCTAGGGTCTTTTTTGCAAAAATATCAAAATATCTATTTGGCTTCTCCCCTAAGTCTTGGCCAGCCATATCCTCTCTTTCCATGTGTCCCAATCTCAGCCCTCCATCCATTAATCATCTTAAATCTCAACCATTCATTCTTAATAACTATCTCATTTCGGTTCAGTTTAATTCCTATCCGGTGCGCGTTTTACTTGTGTTTTTCAGACAGTTGGTCAATTTAGTCAACTTTACTCAACATTGACTAACTTTTCAAGAGTGACCTATTGGTCGACTCTTAGTCAACAAATTTTAACTCGGTAAACCCTAATCGGTTGAAAATCTTAACTTTCTCAGTTTGGCCTTCCGAGCCCCTTTTTTGTCCGTTATTCATTCTGATTGTTTCTAAAACTCTAGAATTAATGCTTTTTAATTTTTTTTCATTTCTTAAACTTAATATTCATGTGTTTGTCATCTTGTGGGAATAACAGAACGTTTCGTGCATCTTTCTTGATTACAGTCTAAAATTCGGTAACTGCATTAGTTTAAAAATTTTTGACTTTTAGCTTATACTTTGCTATTCAATATCAATATCAACAAATACTTATCATAAAAGCATTCGTATTTATAATATAGAGAATTCCAAGAAATTTCATCTTATATAATAATGTTTTGATAATTTTTCCCGGTCATGACAGAGCGCTCTTGTTCATGAATTTGGTTTATGAATCACTATTCATTAAAAAATCAATGGTACTCAATGATAAACATGTAATTAGAGAGGTAAATGGACTTCGCCTAGCTTTAATTATAGATTATGTATAGAGGATTGATCTATATGCAATGACTATATCAAATGGACACTTCACAGTTTAGAAGTAATTTATGTCTATAATTACGAGAGTGCAATTTCAGGTTTATAATGGAGTAACTTTTAGAATTAACAGAATTACATAATTAATTGAAGAGTTTAATTAATTATTATTTATTGGAGCTCGAAATTATAGGTCCATGAGTTCCCGCGTCATCCTTATAATTCTACAAGACACTATGGGCAAAATGGAAATTTTAGAATTATAGAATTCTAAAATAAAACACTCAAGGATAATTAACTAAAAATTAATTATAAATTAAATAGTGTGATTATTTAAATTTAAATTTAAATTTGAATTTTGAAACACACATGTGAAGGTGTTCACATGGTGTGAACTCAGAGTACAGTGTGAATCTCTTTGGGATTCAAATTTCGTGCTCTCTAAAGTTATCCAATTAACTTAGTTGATAAGTTGTCTAATTTAAAATTTAAATTAATTTAAGTTTGTCTTAAATTGAAATTGAAATTTATGTTAACATTGAATTGCATGATAAATGTAAAATTTTGCCCTATTATTTGCCTTCAGCATGCACCTACCCCAAGGAGGAATCTCCTTGTGGTGGCCGACCATATAGGATAAGGGAGAGAGTGGATTTTGCTTCAAAAGTCAAATTTGAAGTTGGAGATAATTATCATGCTTTATCTTAGAGATAAAGATTATACTTTTTTCTAAGAGTGTGACTACTACTCTATAATATAAGAGATTGTATAAAATTGTGAGACACAATTGTTACTCTCTCCTAGCATTAGTGGCCGGT